TGTACAAGTGTGCCATACATACATGAAACAAAAAAGTACTGCAAGATACTGAAAGATGCGTTGTTCGGGTTTGCGTGTTTGCTCCTTCTTCTTGCCAGACGGGTTCTGAACCACCCACTTCTGTCCCACGGGGTGTCTCGTTGGGGGTCGGATCGAGGGTCGACGCGCGTCTCGAGTCTCCACGAGGGGATGGCCGAAAATCATGGGGGGCGTGTCAAAAAATTCGACCAATTTTCAGGTCCGAGAGGCCTGCCAGTCCAAATAACCTTTGAGTGTACCCTTATGAAATGGCGATCCTTTTTCTCTGATAACATGCAAACTCCAAGGGATATTTTATAACCCAAAGGAAAACCAAAAATATGTTGGGTTTTCCACCATCCAGGCCTTGCTGGAGCGAAAGGCGAATCCCAACGACCGGACTTTGCAGTGCCCTGGAGGGTCTACCGTGGACACAGCGAAGCAGATCAACCCGAAAAGACGGTTCATGGTGTATGGCAGAACCAACAGGTACACCTTTATATAAACGTTTTTTGGGAATTGGGAGAGAACAGGTGGGAAAAGGTATGCCTTTTTTAAGGGAAACTTGGGAGCAAGCACAAGAAGGCCCATCAACAGATGTGAGAAAGGACATAGAGTCGTTGGTTGAACAATCTCACTCTTCCGCTGTGGTCAATGGTTTGTTACAGTGAAGCTGGCAAACTCAGGGTTATGTACAGCAAGCCTCGCCAAAGCAAAATTGGTTTACCCTACCCGTGTGGTCATTCGCAGCATAGACATTGACATCGGCCCCTGAAGGTGAAGGAAAATGGTCGAGTTCATCCATGCCGAAACCGAATCACCAGTTGTGTAGGAACCAGGAATGGTATGGCCGTGGATCACCCGGGAACCCTGGTCAACCCTGAAAATGAACAGATTCCTCTACCAGGTCCCTTAGGGGGGTGGTACTAATAATAGCATATAATAGCCCCTTAGAGGTAAGGGGTGTCCATCAACCACCCCTTAGGGGTTGTAGTATAGGTGATGTCAATGATGTCAACCTACCGTGGATTGGTGGGGGAGAAATTGACTCACAGCCGTATATGAGTCTGAGAGAAAAGCACAGTTCAAACAGATCCCTACTACATCAGTCATCAGTCTGTATTCTTTGAAATATTGAGCATTCCCCATCGATTTGCTGTGCAAAATGGATGGTTCTTGCATGGACCGCTGCTGTGCCACTCGTTCGTGGTCCAATTTGCGACTCTAAAAACCACGTATAGTTTTTGTTGGAATTCGTCGATTCTTTTCTCATTTAGACCCCAGGGCTCCAACAACCTCCTTTCGAAGCCACAAACCACTAGTAACAAGAAACTACTAGGGGCTCGCTCCTGGCCTTACTACTAGGAGCAAGGACGGTACTCGGGGCAGGCTTTCGAAGCCACAAGCAGGCTTCAGGTCTCCCGGACTTGGCAAAGTGCCGGCCCGGTCCGGCCCGAGGCCCAAGCGATGTGTGCACTTCGAACACCAGATGTGTGCACTGAGCATGTGCAGTTTCTTCCGGAGAAACGAGGTGCGGCTTCTTCCGAAGTCACCGGGGAAGACAGGTGGAGCGTCGTTAAGACATGGAAGGGCAGGAGTGGTAAGACAGGGAAGTGGGCAGTTAGTACTGAACTAGCGCATCGTGGACTCAGGAAGACCCTTTTTAGACGGTCAAAGTCAGATCTCACTTGAATGAGGGTGTTAATTATAAACAAGTTAGAACCATTTGTTCCCTATAAGATCTAGCAAACGATCTAACAAATGGATGTTTCTTATAGGGAACCAACGGGATCCAACGGGTACAGTAGACCCTTTGGCCGTTCACGGCCCTGTGGGCCTCTTCCCTCTCGCCAGCACAGCCTCTTGAGCCTGCCTTTTGCCGGAAGAAGCCTGTTGGTCGCATGTAGGGCGCCCATGTTCGCCCCCCACCATCCAAAGCTCTGAGGCCATGCGGGTGCTCTTGGAGGCACGGGCAGACCCTGACCTGCCGGACGGCCGCGCCTCGCCGGGACGGAACCAGGTGTGACGGAAGAGGTGTGGTGTCATGGTTCATGACAAGAAGGACCCTCTGACCCTCCAAAGCCATTTCATATAGTCTTAATGTTGACCCAAGAAATCCCAGAAAGACCATTCCAAGAATGGCTTAGGAGCACGAAAAAGTCTCAAGGGGCTGCTTTTTTGACATCCCTTAGGAGATGTACACCTGGTATGTACACTTCTATTATCTCATATTGGATTATCTTGGGGACCACTGATATGTTGCTTTGAAGAATCATGGTTTAATTGACCATGTACGTCTCAGAATCTCCTTTGGAGATCTGGATGGACGTTTTGATCCGGGGTCGTCTGGTGATGTCTGGTGTGGCGGTTCCCATCAGCCTTGACCTGAACGCGCTGCCGGGTGAAGCCGAGACCCTCCGGAGGGAAGAATTTGGTCTGATTTTTCTGCTGATAGATGATAGAGGGGGAAGATCTCTCCAAAATGAATCTCAGAGATTCCACGGCCGGATTCTCCAAACAACGTGTGGATTTTGGAAGCGCCTTCATGGACGACCGCAAAGGCGATGTTGATCCAAAGTTAGAAACGCCATCAGGTATCCACTCTTCTCATCGATTTGGGAATTCTTTCCGTGTTGAACACCTAAATAATCAGGATATTCCACCAAAGTCGAATGACCTCTATCACAAAACATCACAAAACATACAGCCTTAGATTCCTAACCTGCTTCCGATCTTTGAAAAATGTAGCTGAGTGGCATTTCTCGCAATCAAAAACATTGAACGTACCTCTTCATGCATTTCTATTATTTAAATACTCGCTAGCTGCAAAATCATCATATCGCCCAAATCCTTCCAGGTTCACAGTGGCCGGAACCAGCTTTGTTTCAATAGTGAAGTGGTCCAGCGGCCAAGGAAAGTGCACCAGTTTACACTGGGCCTGTGCTGCAGACAATGTGGAAGGCCTGCGTATCCTTTTGGAGGCGACTTGAAACACTGGAACCGGGTGAAACACTGGATTGTAGGCAGAATCCCAATTCGCAAGTTTTTGACAGAATTGACAGGATTGGATGCTGTCCTCCCTTAGACTTTAAGTTCAACCCAGGATCCAAAACCGATTAGCCTTGACTCTGACCGAATCCCTTCATTTTTCTGTTTTTTGCGATGGGCACGACCCCGTGATTTCTATTGTCGATGTACTGAGCGCGGCTGATGTTCCACAGGCCAGTCAGGATGTCGTACATCGAATCCCATTCGGCCGGATATTGCCGGCCCCATCCCACCAACCATTTGGCCATCTCGAGGGCCATCGCGTTCGGACCCTCCTGGTCCGCCATGGCGGAGGTCTCGAGCCCGACCTTGAGCCAAAATGGCTACGCTTGAGGTCGGTGGCGATCCCTTTCTTCAATCCGGCCCTGGCCCGGATGTCTTCGGCACCGCCTGCGCCGATCTGAGTGGACAGACCATTCTTGAAGCCCAGATTACTGCCCAGATTCTCCCTTCCCAAAAGGCAACATCCATTCACACAAGAGTGGAAGCGTACAAGCGAATGGTGGGCTTTTGTGGATGTCACTCTACCTTGGCATCCTGTGCTGTTAATATCCAAGGTGCATGTGGTGCTACCCAGTGTGTCCGAGAGTTGCTTCTTCGGGTGCAAGGCATATCTCTCAAGGATTGCTTCTTCTGGGCCTTGCTTTTGGATGGAGGCACCTTTGCCTTCTTTTGTACGAGTTCTATGTGTCATCTCATGTATCCAACTCGTCCAAGTAGAACCAAGACCGAAGTGACAGGGTCGTTGATTCCGACCGAGGCCAGTCCCCTTGGACCGATGGTTCGACTCTTTCGGAGCGGGGCAATCAGGGTATTCCAAGACGGGTGACGGGTGTCAATCATGGTGTATGATGCGCATCCGTTCGTTGGGATGCAGAATCCAAACCTATAGGATAGTCTTGACCCGCAATTCTCTCGCAGGGTGAACAAAAATCACCCGTCATCCGCAGCAGTCGCGGTGACTTGCTGGTTGCTCCAGAGGCTCAGCAGAGCAGATGAAGATTCTTGCAGAGGCAAAGGGGGACATCAACGAACCCTATGTGCCGGAGATACCAGCGCTGTGAATTGGCACAACAGGACGCTACGAACGGAGCAAAGGGCATCGCTACTAGTAACAAGGATGCTATTAGTGGCTCCTGGCACCGCTACTAGGAGCATTCTTACTAGCACGGACTTTTGGGTCATTTGGAGCTTTTGGACGTTTTGGGGGGTGGAGTCTTCCGACGTTTTGGACACAATACAGGAGTCTTCCAACTCAAATGGATCCAGGATTCCAAATGGATCCAAATGGCGTATCCATTCCCGTGGGGACGGTCAGGGAGGTTTGAAGCCTCCAGGAAGACCCTACGGTGTTGAAAGCATGGCCAGTTCCACCTCAGTGTCGATTGATCCGGGGTTGGAGCATGGCCTGCCCCTACGGATCCTACGGTGTTTGATCCTGTGGGCTCTTCACATCGAACATGATCACCCAGAACTAGAACTTCAAGCGCTTCGGTGGTGCACTCGAACTCCAGCTGTGCCCGCAATCGCATCGGTACCCCTCATCGGAATGGCTCAGACTTGCCTTGGGCCATGACCACTCCGGGCCGGCGACGGTCTGGTGTTCAGGTGGAGTCCTCCCTATGCCCTTGATTGATCCGGGCGCTTCCAATTGAGAAGGACTTTGGAGGGTCCGACCCCTGCCACTTAGGGTGAGTCCAGACAGGACCAAGACCCCCTGACTGGGCCAGTCCAGGCCTGACTCGGCGAACCAGTTGGGCCGAAATGCGAACCAGTGGGGTCATCTTTGGGGAAACTGGACCATCCCGAAACCGTTTCCTCGATTCGCTGCGCTCTGCGCAGGGTAAGGAATCCCCAAATTCAGAAAGAGAGCCTTGGAGAATGGAGTGCGTCCTTGCGCCAATGTTCATCAATGTTTCCCTAGGCCTATAGGCATGGCCGTCAAATTTGGGGCGCACGGATTTCTGCGAAGGGACATCCAAAGTCCCAGACTGACTTGGCTGTTCGCTGGGCCAAAGAGGCCGAGACTTGAAACAGTGCTATTCAAAGGGGCGCAACCTTGGCAGTGTTGGGGCCCTGCGACTTTTTCTAAGTTGGAGGGCAAGCTGCTGCTTGGGACATCAAACAAAGCATGGCCTGTCAGCTGTCAGCTCTGCCTCGCTTCGCCTAGTTGGATGATGATGGGTCTTTTTGGCCTGAAGCACCACTTCAGCCCCTCGCGCCTCACCAACTTGGCCAAGAACCACCGTGGCTGCACGCCGCTGATGTCACTGGGCAGACCAGACACGAAAAGCCTTGAAGAAACGTTTAAGAACTAGAATTCTGGAATTCATCATGGAAGTGGAGACAAGTGGAGTGAAAACCACACTGTGTGGCATGAAAAATGGTCATCCGAACTTGGGGGCCACCTTCCACTTCCATGATGATTTCAGGGAGTCTAGTTACAATGCTGGAAATCGAAGGAACTAAAGGAACCCCTTCACTTGGTTCCTTCACTTGGTTCACCGTGGTTCACTCAATGTTCACGGAATATCCCTTTGGACACCTGGAATGACGCTAAAGGTCATGTCTAAGCAAGACAGATACTACCTACTGCAGCAATAACAACATTAATTGAGACAGGACACCAGAAGAAATAATTTGTTGGCTGGATAGCTGGATAGAAGTTAATTGATGCTGTTGCAAGTTGGTCTATGTCATTAGTTTCTTTAGTAATGCGGAGCTTCTTGATTAATGCTGTCCTTTTTTTGAATCTGAATGCTCTTAAGAAGGTAATTTTAAAAAGACAGTAATAATCCTTGTGAAGGTTGAATCGGCTTCCTTTTGGTGCTCAGTTTTAAATTCACGCGTGGCTATAGAAAAGTTAAGCAAAACATACATAACCCTGCTAAAACAATTGGAACGCCTTTTAAGCGTTTTAAGATTGCGCCTCACAAAAACCTAGGTTTTGAGCTTTAGTGTTGCTTCAACTGTTCAGACCAGCCCGGCAGAGGTTTAGAGGGAATACCAAAAAAATACAAGAAAAAATACCAAGACACGAAAAAGAAACACTGCTGGAGACACAATGAAGGCAAAACCGGACAAAAATCACAAACATATCCACATCATGTTGTTTGTTTTTGTTTGGGATTTTTTTGTGGTATTTGGGTCTGAACAATTGAAACCAAACAATAGCTCGAACCTTTGGTTTTTGCAAGGCTTCAGTCAAAACCAGTGTAAAACACAGAGTTTTGTTCATGGTTTGCATTAACAATAGAACATAGAAACAAAACATGGCTCCAAAACCAAGGTTTTGGTGATTTTTCAGCCAACAAAGACTGTATAAATTACTAGTGTAGATTTTCTGCATGATAAACTTCTCCCAGGAGTACCCGTTCTGAATTTTGCCGAGACGTGGGGCCATTATTGAAGATGAATCCATTATATTATATACTTATGTTTTTGTTTGTTTCTGTTTAAGAGCATGTTTCATTGACTCAGCCGGTTCCTTTCAGGAGTCAAGATTACAGGGCAAGTATGGGCAAGTGCATTGAATTGCTGTATATTTTTGATGTTGATTGGTGCGGGAAGGCCATTTTTATCACCCTGCTTGCTTTTGAAACATCCTTGCTGAGCCAAGTGCGGAACGGCCGCTGGTGGAACACTTTGTAATTTATGGACTATACTGTACTTATGATGTCAAGGTCACTGAACCACATTCCTCTACTGGTGACTCTCCTGTTTCCAACCATACCATTTGTGCAAAAACTGCACCACCACGTGTTTCCATGAGTCCAACAACCATGCATTAGCCGGCCGGTGCCAGTGCCGCGGCTTGCGTGAGTAGAAGCGTGAGTAGAAATGCAAAGAATTGAGGTTTCCTAAGTCCCAAGGGCCAGGGGCCTCATGGTTTTTGGTTGAAGAATCTCGACCGAGCTAGAGTAAGAGGCAGCTGTTCACGGCTTTGAGGCAGCGCCTTCGAGCTTTGAGGGAGATCCCTGCACCGATCAACTCCCCGATCAACTGCCTCGATCAAGGTCCTAGTCAGGACATATTCAGCTTCAATCCTTTTCGGGGAACCCAACCCACAAGTAATGTAGGAGACTCTTGATTCTTGATTAATAAACCACCCCATTTTAGCTCAAACACCTCTTCATATGGAGGGTTTATTGATCAAGAGTCTACATTAGTCTTAATGGCAATGACCCCTCTCAGATTTCTCAGATTTAGCCATGCAAGGTACAGTGTGCTTAGCAGCCACTTCGAAGCCACTGTGGCACTGATCGCCCTGGGTGCTGACCTTGGGGCGCGCAATTCACAGGGGAAGACGGCGGCCGACCTGGCCCGCGAGGTCTTAGCACCACAGGAGACTTCGTTCGCACGAAAGCATGGCGTCGACAGGGCATCCGTCAGGGGTGGCAGGCGGAAAGCATTCGAAACGATCGCCTGGAAGTTTACAGGTGGTAGGTGGTGGGCTGAAAACATCGGGCACCAGGTTCCTACCATTATGCACCTTGCAGTTGGATCGGAAAAGCCTCACCGAGGGTTTTCCAAGGTTTTTGTTTGGTGTTCCTGTTGAAACAGGGATTTGGGGGTCCACCAGTTTTTGTTTATTCTTAGTGTTTGTAGTATGGGTCAAAACTGAAATGACAAGGGTGAGTGAAAACGATGGTGCAGATTACATGATTATTCATTGTTCAATGCTAGTTTGTTAGTAAGCTGTTCATATTGCGGGGTTGCTTCGACAATTTCAGTTTGATATATATATATATATAATTATATATATATAACAATAATATATATATATATTTGTTATAGTTTGAACTACCTCTGAAAAGGTCATTGAGAAGCATGAGGGGCCAGGGGGGCAAGATAGTTGCGTTGGTGTCATATTTCAACACCTGAGCTCTTCTTGTGGATCTCTCTGTGTTTTGATCAGAAATAATGTGCCTTTTGTGTTAATGTTGTTTTGCTCATATGCTGTAGCGTTGATGCTCAAATGCGATGACTCCATAGAAGCATAATGAAGTATATGTTTTGAAGCCTTGTTGCTCTTGCTGGCATTGGGTTGGTGCACTTCTTCGTGCTGCAACAGTTGCCACGGATCCACACGTTGATGCCCTTCGTTGTCATGAAGTGCTCGTTCCTTGTTGGTGCGATTCGATTGCTGCTTCTTTGGTACTACGGACAGCCGTCTCTTGCAGCTCCCTGCGTGCATTTTCTTGAGGATCTTGTGATGGGGGTCATTTGGTACTTGACAGATATGTATACATATTAGTGTGCTATTCTTTTCAGGGGTAGCTAGGACACTTTGACTCTTCTGTTCTGTGACGGCCTCTGAACATACTGTAATACCACTCAGTTTTGTAGAATCTGAACTCTTCTTCACAGTTTATGTGTGAAACTGCCAGTTTCGACGGAACTGTGACAAGTTTTTGTGGACGAGTATGGGCAAGACGTGCCGCAAGTACTGAGATCGCCTGATTGCTTGGCTGAAAAGATGCCTTTACATCCATATTCCGATATTCCACTGTGTGTGAGTGTGTGATGCAAATTAGGCCCTTAAGCCCCCATGGTCAAAAGCACACAAAAATGAAGCCAGCGCAAGAATGCCAAGACGTATGCAATACCATGAACTCATATGAAGTACTAGAAATCACTCTTTACATTAGCGATGTTTGTTGAGTCGATGAGTCGATTGGTTTTGGAAAGGGAAACAATGAACCACCACCCTAGCTACACACTCCCTACAAAAAAGCACACCGTAGGTGAGATTGTTCTTCTCTATTCCAACTGTAGGTGTATGTATATTATATATTCTAAGTCCATATCGACAAAACAATGAGATTTTGTGTATTAAAATTGCATCATAACAATTAAGTCTATTCCAACTGCTTGTCTATAAGTGTACATATTCCATATTTGGGTGTCACATTTCGCGCTACCTGGGTCAACTTAGATCTTAGAATCACCAAAAGTGACCCACAGCCTGATGACACCGTGTCGCTGATATGTACGTATAATTATTGATTGAGGATTCCTCAACTTGATCATCTTGGGATTTTTCATCATCGCATCAAGGAGCTCAGGGCTCCGTTTGTCAGGAGCTCGTGACCTCCTTGCAGGGCAACGACCACGACGACACCGCTCCCAGGAGCGTTCGACGGGCGAAGTGGACGGTTTCGCAGTGCGCTGAGCGATGTTCCATCGAAGTCGAAGGAAATTCCTAATCTCAACTTCACCAAGGAAAGAGCATTTGTCGTTGTTTTGGTGGGAGGGAGGCTCCCAGGGCATTCTCAAAAAGTTTGGACTTGACGACCCCACCAAACCGAGGCGGATCGGTAGAGTTGGCGCACTGTTGGTGGTTATTTGGTGCCTTTCCATTGAACCCTGGAAGGCCCGTTAGAGATAGACTGGATGAGAGTTCTAGCATGTTCTAGCATGTTCTAGCACCATCCTGAATTGAGGATTGTTTGAGGCACTGGAGCCAAGCTCACTTCGTCACCCATTCCGTGAAAGTAAAGGCAGTGGCTTTGAATTGGGTGAGCCGGTCCAAATTCATCACTCACAGAGTCACAGAGAAATGAAACGCTAGCAATAGGATTTGAACACGCAATACAGTTACACCATGACTCAGATGACTTTTGCGCTGTTAGATGTGGCACTTGCCAGGACGACGACTACTGGAAGGAAATGTGAGAGTTGGCCCAGCAAGCTGGCACTTTAAGCTATGCAACACACACACACACCCTGCAATGAGCCATGGAAAAAGCATGCTCACCCCTCTAGCCTTCGTTCGTGCCCAAGTGCCCATCTACAGTATTTCCGCACAAATTTCCTGTTGTAGTCTAAGAAGTCACCATTTATATTTTATACATGTTGTTTAATATATAGTACATATATCGTATGTGTCTCTCTCTATATATATATTATATGTACAATTCGCAGTGTTATCGCACATACCTATGTCAATGGAACAACATATCAACTGTCACACACGATTTGGGGCAAGCGCACAAATGTTTGCCTTGGTGATGGTCGCTTCACTGATCGCCAGTTCTGCTCGGGAAGGACCTGAGAACTGCCCAACAGTCCATCAAAGAGATGCCGACCCCAGGGACTTGGGACTTGTCTTCAAAACCAACGCGCCCCAAAGCACAGGTGAACATCACGGGTTTTTATTAAAGAGCTTTCCCGGTGACATGACCAAAGCAGTTCCCTTGCGGTCCGATATTTGCCTCAAAGATTTTTTATGCAGTATCGATCATCTAAAATCACCTGTACTGTAGAGCCAGTAGAGTGGTTTTTCGTGGAATGGCCAGCAATCCCAGGAATTACCCAACTCTTTCCCAGACATGTTTTCGGATTTGAGAACAGCAGGAACCGAGAGTGAACCAGAAAATTGCAAGTTGCTGCAGCTGGAGTTGGTCTGCCGCTTGTGTCACGTTTACGTGACATTTACATCCAGCTACCACTGGAGAAACGATGTTGATTTCCATTGACTCGAGAATAGGGTTGCAACAGCAGATATGTTTTAAAGGACCTAGTGGTAGCTCAGGAGCTTGAGGCTTGCCCTGGAGTTTTGAAGTTCAGCTCAAGTCTTTGAGAAATTCGTTTCCTACTTGGGTTGTCCCAGCAAGTCCTAACGCCCAATATGTCTAACCTACTGGATACCGCCTTTGCCCTTTCGCAGCCCTGCCATGATATTTCGCATCTTCAGGCTCTGCAAGCTGCAATGAACGCGATGCAAACCACGTCCGAACGCCACCAGAATCGGCCGGGGGACTGTTCCGAAGGCCCTGCAACATCCTGCAACCATTTCTGTCTCGCAACCTCAACTCGAACAAACTTCCCTTGTGACTGGACTGTTGCCGACGCGCCCATCATCATGCACATGCCCACCGCAACTTTCCATAGCTCGGACATTTCTCTTCAAAACGTCCCTGAGAATCCATATTGGCAGGTCCAGCCTATCGCGCTGTTTAAGGGGCACTGGAATCGAAGAAGAGCAGCGGCTTGGAGAAGAATCATCAAGAGCGGAGCTTGCTAGAGAAAAGCGGCCACAAATAGGCTTCTCATGGCTTCACCAGATCACTATATATAATAACCACCACACTGCACCAGGCTACATTTTACCACATCACAGATCACAGCACTTAACTGCGCTTCTGCACGTCACCAAACGTTGTTGTGCTTTCGCGACCGACACCCTAGCTCATCCCCTTAACTGCAGGGGTGGGTAGTGGCCCAGCTGTCCGCCTAGTGTTGCACCCGCGGATTGAATTGAAGCTGGCCCCTGGCGCATGAGGGATGCGTCATAGCCACTAGACCATACCGGCCCTGTACACTTCACCAAACTTCACTTCACTCCATCAAGACTCACCACATCGCGCTTCACCACATAATATCTCACCACCGCACTTTCCACGACTCTACACTTCACCAATGATGGAGTGGAGGCTGAGCCAATAACCACCACCTTCGACAAGATCAATTTTCTGTTGGCTGGGACGCAAGGCCTTCTCACTTTGACGGCTGGCTTGGTGCACGAAGGGTTGCACTATCAGGAGAGCCCGCCAGCACAGCGGCGCCTGGAATGGCATGGTTGTCAGGTACGCTGGACAATTGCTGCCCTCGTCAACTAAAGCACGCGAATCTCTACCCTCAGAGCACTCGCTATACAGGTGGATCCTGCAGCCCTGGTTGCAGCTCACTTGTTCCCTGAGAGTGGATCGAGCTCTCATCTAAGGCGCTGCTGAGAGGCCAGATATGGCATACTTACACTTCACCGCCTCACTTTCAGGCACCACGTTCTTATACGCTTCCCGACATTGCAGCCGCAACGCACTTCAAATCCGAAAAACCACATGCAACGTCTTCACACGAGACCCTGCACCACCCGAAGTGTCAGTGCCTTTGTTCATCACAACAAATCATTTATTGATATTTATTGAAACTTCTGCCACCGGCTCTGACAGAGAATTAGTTACCAAAATGTTTGTCAAACCTTCATGGCATGCGTTGGAGACCCACCCGAGTGGAACCAAACAGACATGTCCCCAAACTGCAAGCTGTTAATAGATCAAGCGCATTCTCGCGCAAACTTTTCACATCTACTTTTCTAGCGGTGCGGTTGTCGTTCGGGTGTACCATCAAAATCTGGTAGTGCCCCAACCCTTCCCACACCTGTCAATACAGGCATGCCTCAGTGCATCTCAGTGCGTACAAGGGATAACCCGCACCATGCCAAGGTCTCAAAACGTCGCTTTAGGCGTCTCTTTTTACTCCTGGAACTGCAATGGTTCTTGGACGCACATATGTTCGCCGTTGACGGGTCCGTTGTTTTTATCGCGGCCCCTCGACAGGGTGCAACTCGAATTGAGGGACATGACCGGGAGACGGAGATAGTCAAATCCGTGCCACCCGGAATTTTTCGAGGTGTGGTGTCCGCTGACCCCGAACAGTTTCACGGATGTGTCCTTCTCACCCCACCACATGCAACTACCCATCGCAAATCTGAAGTTCCAGCCAAGATATCGGTTTTAGGTGGGAGGTGTTGATATATTTTACCCACCTGTCAGGTGAGGGTAGTTGTTAGGTTTCAGAGGAGGATCCCGCCTCATCCTTTGTCTCTGCCTCCTCCCTTTGCAGTTCCTCAACTGCCAGCTCCAGATCGCAGTGGGCACCAACGGCATGCTCCAGATCGCAGTGGGCACTACCGGACCTCAACAGCAAGTTCCAGAGCGCGGTGGGCACTCCCGGACCTCCGCAGAATATTTGCCAGATAGAAATATGCCAGAATGTATGTCAGACAGATAGGATGTCAGAATGAAAATATGACAGATGTACAAATGTCGGAATACATGTCAGAGCACATACCAGGACCAAAGTCGGTCCATACGTCACATCACATGTCAGACAGGAGAAGTGTCAGAGCAAGAACCTTTCCCAGCCTTGATGATAGATGGTGTGTAGGGAGCACAAACCATCAGACTTGATCCCTGAACAACTGTCAGTCCGCAAGTCCGCCTTTGTAAGGCTACGTGCCCTGCCTTCTTCCAAATCGCCGGTCGGGGTGGGGATCACTTGACATAGAGTAGTTTCCATCCTCACTCGCAAATATCAAAAAACGACTGTGTTTGTTGTCCTACGATGAAAAAGGTCTGGACTATGGATGCCTGATACAATGACAAAACATGACAAATTCAAACTTGGCAACGTATTGAATGTTAAGGGCAAAAAAATTGACGCCTTCACAACTGTGTTTTCTACAACCTTTAAATCAGAATAGGATCCTTGTAAATGAAATGCCCGTCACTTCACATGAGCCCCAGCACAAAGTTGTATCATAAAACAACCCTTGCTGCACCATAGGTCTTAGCACACAAACGGCACTGCATCTCAGTACGAGTCTCAGTTTGTTTGTCAAAGGTGTTCAGGAGAGTTCGTCTATAAATCACGAAAGGTAGCTTGAGCTACCTGAGTTCTCCTTGCTTTAGCAAAAATGTATTACAATCAGGAGTTGGGATTGTGCATTGAATTGATTCTGTTCGTTGGGGGGGGGCCCCCCCCTCCCTGGATCAAATCCCCCCTGCGCCGGTTCACGCCGTCATGGACTTCTACCAGGGTTACTTGTGATTGCCTGCTACCTTTCGTTCAACCCCCCCCTCTCTCAAGTAGAATCCAAAGTCTGGCTGATATGAATTTTTGTCCCAAAGAGACACCAACGTCCTAGATCTAAACCTGCGTCCCAAACAGAAAAAACACAATGTCACAAATAAGTGCCAATACTCTCTTCCTACATCAACAAATGTTTTACTCACAAACGGACACCAAGGCATGACAAGAAAGATCAAGGATTATCAAGGCCATACATTACAAGGTCACTTGGAGTCTTTACGACCTCGATGTATGAACCAACTGGACGTTTAATAGCTCGCACTTAAGTGGTTTCTAACGAAAACCATTTTGAGGGAGCTGGATGATATTGTTCATGTTGATTCTCTCAATGATTTGATGCAAAGGTATACCCCAAACATTTACACATTACCCCTTTTATATTGATTTGTTGTTGAACATCCTTTGTGATGCACATACACCTTCACCCCTGGTAGTTGTGGAAAATATATCCATGTCCCAAAGCAGATTCAATCCCGAGTACATCTTAAATACATTTAAATACAAATGCCTCTTTTTTTGAAGTGCCTCCAATGAATTCTGTTACTAAAATGTACCCCTTGGGGTTATTTTGGGGCACGTTCTGAGGATAAAACGTACCCACCAACAAAGTGCCCCTCACCACCACACTCCGTGCCACTGTGCTCCACGCCACATGAACACACAAACGTCGCACGGGGTTCCCCACCGAGGCCTCAACAAGGCCCGCATGGCACGGGGCGTCCCATCACATGTTTAATGAAGACTCTGGAGGTGTTTGTAATTTTTACTATACGACTTGAATAACTTGAATGCAAGATGTGAGTAACTATATATGCAACATGTGAGTATAGGCAGCTTTTCGGTTTTCAGTGTTGAAGCCTTTCCGGCTCTTTACAGGTTTCCATTTTTGGGACCCCTATTTAAAACGACACCAGAATCTGTTTATTGGGCGTGGGAGAGGGGGGGGCCCGTGTCTTTTTTAGTAGGTGGATGATATACGTTTTCAGAGTGCTGGAGTTGAGCGGATACCATCAACCAGTCTCCATCGGCCATGTCCAGATCGCACCA